TTGTGGTACGCAGGCCTCTCACTGTTGTGGCCTCTCCCGTTGCAGAGCACAGGCTCTGGACATGCAGGCTCAGTGGCCATGGCTCACGGGCCCAGCTGCTCCGCGGCATGTGGTATCTTCCCAGACCATGGCACGAACCTGTGTCCCCTGCATCGGCAGGTGTACTCTCAACCACTGCGCCACCAGGGAAGCCCCTGTTGATATCCCTTTTAAGGGCTGTTAGCATTTGCCTTGTGTATTGAGGTGCTCTTATGATGGGTGCATAAATATTACAATTGTTACATCTTCTTCTTGGATTGATCCCTTGATCATTATGTAGTGTCCTTCTTTGTCCCTTGTAATAGTCTTTATTTTAAAGTCTATTTTGTCTGATATGAGAATTGCTACTCCAGCTTTCTTTTGATTTCCGTTTGCATGGAATATCTTTTTCCATCCCCTCACTTTCAGTCTGTATGTGTCCCTAGGTCTGAAGTGGGTCTCTTGTAGACAGCATATATATGTGTCTTGTTTTTGTATCCATTCAGCCAATCTGTGTCTTTTGGTGGGAGCATTTAGTCCATTTACATTTAATGTAATTATCGATATGTATGTTCCTATGACCATTTTCTTAATTGTTTTGGGTTTGTTATTGTAGGTCTTTTCCTTCTCTTTTATTTCCTGCCTAGAGAAGTTCCTTTAGCATTTGTTGTAAAGCTGGTTTGGTGGTGCTGAATTCTCTTAACTTTTCCTTGTCTGTAAAGGTTTTAATTTCTCTGTCGAATCTGAATGAGATCCTTGCTGGGTAGAGTAATCTTGGTTGTAGGTTTTTCCCTTTCATCACTTTAAATATGTCCTGCCTCTCCCTTCTGGCTTGTAGAGTTTCTGCTGAAAGATCAACTGTTAACCTTATGGGGATTCCCTTGTATGTTATTTGTTGTTTTGCCCTTGCTGCTTTTAATATTTTTTCTTTGTATTTAAGTTTTAATAGTTTGATTAATATGTGTCTTGGTGTGTTTCTCCTTGGATTTATCCTGTGTGGGACTTTCTGTGCTTCCTGGACTTGTTTGACTATTTCTTTTCCCATATTCGGGAAGTTTTCAACTGTAATCTCTTCAAATATTTTCTCAGTCCCTTTCTTTTCCTCTTCTTCTTCTGGGACCCCTATAATTCAAATGTTGGTGCCTTTAATGCTGTCCCAGAGGTCTCTGAGACTGTCCTCAATTCTTTTCATTCTTTTTTTCTTTATTCTGCTCTGCGGTAGTTATTTCCACTGTTTTATCTTCCAGATCACTTATCCGTTCTTCTGCCTCAGTTATTCTGCTATTGATTCCTTCTAGAGAATTTTTAATTTCACTTATTGTGTTGTTCATCACTGTTTGTTTGCTCTTTAGTTCTTCTAGGTCCTTGTTAAATGTTTCTTGTATTTTCTCCATTCTATTTCCAAGATTTTGGATCATCTTTACTATCATTACTGTGAATTCTTTTCCAGGTAGACTGCCTATGTCCTCTTCATTTGTTAGGTCTGGTGGGTTTTTACCTTGCTCCTTCGTCTGCTGGGTATTTCTCTGTCTTCTCGTTTTGCTTAACTTACTGTGTTTGGGGTCTCCTTTTCGCAGGCTGCAGGTTCGTAGTTCTCATTGTTTTTGGTGTGTGCCCCAGTGGGTAAGCTTGGTTCAGTGGGTTGTGTAGGCTTCCTGGTGGAGGAGACTGGTGCCTGTGTTCTGGTGGATGAGGCTGGATCTTGTCTTTCTCGTTGGCAGGACCATGTCCGGTGGTGTGTTTTGGGGTGTCTGTGACCTTATTATGATTTTAGGCAGCCTGTCTGCTAATGGGTGGGGTTGTGTTCCTCTCTTGCTAGTTGTTTGCCATGGGGTGTCCAGCCCTGCTGCTTGCTGGTCATTGAGTGAAGCTGCATCTTAGCATTGAGATGGAGATCTCTGAGAGAGCTTTCTCACCGTTTGTTATTACATGAGGCTGGGAGGTCTCTGGTAGACCAGTGTCCTGAACTTGGCTCTCCCACTTCAGAGGCTCAGGCCTGATACCCAGCCAGAGCACCAAGACCCTGGGCACACAGCAGGCTGAGCGGCTTGCCTGCTCACCCACCCGCACAGGTTGGGGCTTTGGAGGTCAGATCCCAGGGAGAGGACTCTTACCTCCCATTTCTGATTGGTCACTAAACCCCACTGCCTCAGGCAAGGCTTAAATCTTCCCATTCTTTTTATCCCCCCTTGCAGAGCTCCATTTCAGGGCTCTTTTTTTTTTTTTTAACATCTTTATTGGAGTATAATTGCTTTACAATGGTGTGTTAGTTTCTGCTTTATAACAAAGTGAATCAGTTATACATATACATATGTCCCCATATCTCTTCCCTCTTGCGTCTGCCTCCCTCCCACCCTCCCTATCCCACCCCTCTAGGTGGTCACAGAGCACCGAGCTGATCTCCCTGTGCTATGAGGCTGCTTCCCACTAGCTATCTGTTTTACGTTTGGTAGTGTATATATATATATATATGTCCATGCCACACTCTCACTTTGTCACAGCTTACCCTTTCCCCTCCCCGTATCCTCAAGTCCATTCTCTAGTAGGTCTGTGTCTTTATTCCCGTCTTACCCCTAGGTTCTTCATGACCTTTTTTTTTTTCTTAGATTCCATATATATGTGTTAGCATACGGTATTTGTTTTTCTCTTTCTGACTTAATTTTACTGTGTATGACAGACTCTACGTCCATCCACCTCACTACAAATAACTCAATTTCATTTCTTTTTATGGCTGAGTAATATTCCATTGTATATATGTGGCACATCTTCCTTATCCATTCATCTTGTCGATGGACACTTAGGTTGCTTCCATGTCCTGGCTATTGTAAATAGAGCTGCAACGAACATTGTGGTACATGACTCTTCTTGAATTATGGTTTCTCAGGACAACCTCAGAGGCCTTTGATCTCTCCTAGCTCCTGCATGTAGCTTTGTCCTCCATCTGCTTTGCATCTTTCACACTTTTGTCAGAATTAATTTCTAAAGTGTAAGTCAAATAATTGTACTCCTTTGCTCTTTGGATTTGCCCCTTTGCCATAGTCCATATTTCTTGCAATGGTGTGGAAGCTCTCAATGTTCTGACCATGGACCACCTCTATAGCCTAATTTATCTTAAACCTTCTCATCCAACTTTAAAAAAGACTTTCAAATCAGTGACCACAGCAAGCACCTCAAGCATTCCTAACACTGTGTGTGCCTGGAATGCTTTTCCCTCTGTCAAGAGCCTTGTCTTCCTCATCTTTGACTCCCTGTTGCTTAGCGTGTGGCAAACAGAGGTGGTCAGCAAACATTTGCTGAAGGAACTGTGTAAATGGTAATAATTACATCTGAATTAATATGTTAACATGCCATTGTGGGGCTTTACAAAATTTGATTCAATTCTATATTCTTGGAAGTAGGATTTTGTACTTTTTTTTTTTGCTTTTGAAAATTTGTTTGACTAAGGAAAGGTGATCTTAACTAAATGAATGCTTTGAAGAAACCTATTTTACCATGTTTCTTTCCATATGTTAGTCCAATAAGGCTGCTATAACAAAAATCCAGAGATTAGATGGCTTAAACAACATTCATTGCTCACAGTTCTGGAGACTGGGAAATGCAAGATCAGGGTGCTGGAAAATTCAGTGTCTGATGAGGGCCTGATTCCCCCTGTGTCCCCATATGGCAGACCGCGAAATTGCAACATATAAATTTTGGGAGGACACAAACATTCAGTCAATTGACCTCTACTAATTTATTGAATCAATTAAGAAGAATCGTTTCCATTTTAGTTTTGTACATTTTAAGAAGTGCTTTCGTATGTTGCATAAACGTTATTTATATTCTTTTTCTTTTCCTCATGTGTTTCAGTTTCATGCTTTAAGTGGCAGAAATATTTGCAACTACCAGCTGGTCTGTGACAGTGACATGAACCTGCAGAATAAAGAATCTGTGGCCCGGTGTCTGCATATCTTGTCCTCCTTAAGGCTCATCATGCAGGTGGCTTTGCCACAGGAGCAACTTTGCTGGATTATATTCAATGGTATATGTCAGTGTCTTTTATTTTTCATTGTGTCTTTCAGAAAGGTATTTAAATACTAAGTTTGACGGTGACTTGATTACCTTGTGATTTTTTTTTTTTTTTTTTTTGCTGTACGTGGGCCTCTCACTGCTGTGGCCTCTCCCGTTGCGGAGCACAGGCTCCGGACGCGCAAGCTCAGCGGCCATGGCTCACGGGCCCAGCCGCTCCGCGGCATGTGGGATCTTCCCGGACCGGGGCACGAACCTGCGTCCCCTGCATCGGCAGGCGGACTCTCAACCACTGCGCCACCAGGGAAGCCCTACCTTGTGATTTAAAACATGTTCATTTCCTCCTAGGGGCAAGACGGGAATAAAGATGCAGACCTACTAGAGAATGGACTTGAGGATATGGGGAGGGGGAAGGGTAAGCTGTGACAAAGTGAGAGAGTGGCATGGACATATATACACTACCAAATGTAAAATAGATGGCTAATGGGAATAGCATAGCACAGCGAGATCAGCTTGGTGCTTTGTGACCACCTAGAGGGGTGGGATAGGGAGGGTGGGAGGGAGGCGGATGCAAGAGGGAAGAGATATGGGGACATATGTATATGTATAACTGATTCACTTTGTTATAAAGCAGAAACTAACACACCATTATAAAGCAATTTAATAAAGATGTTATTTCCTAATAGGATACTTGCAGGCCTTTTTACATTTTTATTACATTTCAGTTTGTCCTTATGAGCAGGGACTTATACAGCATATCTGTGCATTTTCTTTTTTTTTTTTTTTTTTTAACATCTTTATTGGGGTATAATTGCTTTACAAATATCTGTGCATTTTCTGCTCAACGGAGGGTCAGAGGCTGTGGGGATAATCAGTTTCACATATATACAAAATAGGGACCACACTTAGTAAGTAAATATAAATGGGGAAGGATCGGAGGACAGGTTAGATTGTTTCTAAGCATCGTCCATTTATTGGTCCTCTCCATGAGTACTTTGGCCAATGACCAGGGCTTCCTATGCATCAGCCTTCTCGTCCTACTTGTTTTTGAGTGAGGAGCTCTGAGAACGTGCATGTTTGTATGTGTATAGTGTATTTACCTACATGTATATGCATTGTACAGATACACATATGTACATGTATATGCATTATATATGTATTATATATGTCTCATGAAATGAATCTTATCTATCAAAATGTAGCATTTGTTTTTTCCTTTTAAGACTTACAATTTAAATTCAACTAAAATTCTCTTTAAAGTTACAATTTGAAGTTATGATGAGTAGCCTGATGAGTCGCCTACAGTATTATTTTCTGGATAACATATTCCTGAAAGAAAAATAATAACAGTGTGTTCTGTGTGCCTAAAACCAGGGCAAAATAACCTGCAAGAAAACATATTGGATTTTCTCTCATCCATGGCAACTGACAGTACATTTCCTAGCCTTTTCCTTCCTTGATCTCCCCAAATAATTTTTTTGACATTTTGATTGTAATTAGACCTTACATTTGCTACCAGAGATGAGGCTGACTCTGGAAGACATTTTTCAGTCCAGTGATTGTTAAGCTTTTGGGCCTCCTCATCCTCAGAGTTGCCACGGCTGTCTCTGCACCTGAATTGCTCACACATCTTGGCAGGGATTGAACAGGCAGAGCTTCTGTACTCAGGAAGGAGTGATAGGCCTGAGGGTTGGGCCCTGCAGTCAGGCTTTGCTTGAAAGGTGGAAATGATGCACGTGTCTGAAACCCTTTTCAGATCACACACAAAACCTCCCAATATTCTTAAAAAAAAAAAAGACTGAATGATTTCTGTATCTTCTACATCCTTTTTCTGGTGTGTGCTTTTTCCTTATACATATGTCATTGTGTTCTAGATTTTATCCTGTTTCCTAAATAGTTTTCAGCTCAGCACTATGGTTTTAGAATCTAGCCGTGTTGCTATATGTAAACCTAGTTTGTTAACTCTGCCTGCTGAATTGTATTTGGCAGATACCTATGCACCCGTAGGGATGGGCACCTGGTTTGCCCTGCCTCTCTAACTGCGCAAATAATTCTGCAGTGAATATCCTCGCCTCTGTCCTTTTATAGACCTGTGTGAGAGTTTTCTGGGACTTATGCCCAGGAGTGAGATTCCTGGATTGTGGGAGGTATATATACTTAGTGTCATTAACTGCTGTTTCTGTTTTAGTTAATTCATCTCAAACTTATTAAGTGCCAGGCATTGTTTTGGATGCTAGGGATACAGTAGTGGACGGCAGACAAAAACCCTGCATAATGCTTCAGGGAGATGAAGAACAAATCAAGACTAAGTGATGTATCAGATGGTGATGAGTGCTATGGAGGAAAGTAAAGCCGAGAAAGGGGTTAGGGAGAGCACTGGCTGGGCTGGGGCTGGGCTGCAAGTTTATTTTATTTTTTAAAAAAAGATTTATTTATTTATTTTATTTTAATGTTTTTGGCTGCATTGGGTCTTCGTTGCTGCGCACAGGCCTTCTCTAGTTGCGGTGAGTGGGGGTTACTCTTCGTGGTGGTGCGTGGGCTTCTCATTGCGGTGGCTTCTCTTGTTGTGGAGCACGGGCTCTAGGCACACGGGCTTCAGTAGTTGTGGCCTGAGGGCTCAGTAGTTGTGGCTCACGGGCTCTAGAGCTCAGGCTCAGTAGTTGTGGTGCACAGGCTTAGTTGCTCCGCAGCATGTAGGATATTCCCAGACCAGGGCTCGAACCCATGTCCCCTGCATTGGCAGGCGGATTCTTAACCACTGCACCACCAGGGAAGTCCCGGGCTGCCGTTTTAAGTGGAATGGTAAGGGTAGGCCTCACCTGAGATAAGATGCCGTTGGAGTAAACACCTGACTGAGACATATGGGTGTTTGGGGGAAGGGCATTCCAACTGGGAGATTAACAAGTGCAAAGAGCTTGTAGTTTTAAAACTTTGGAATTCAAGTCATGAAAAAATAAATTGACCCACAGTCATTTTCTCAAAATACATTTGACCTTTCCAGTTAGACGCTAACACTCTTTTAATTGACTATTTTACACACACACCCTTGTTTTTAAGATATTTAACCAGTCTTTGTTCTTTCACAAAATCTAACTGGGTAAATGAATGTTGGATAACATCTGACATCTCAACTAACCTGAACCCAACTCATTTGAACCCTCAAATAGTCAAGATTATTTTGGTGGTGGCTATCTTAGATGAAAAGGAGTCACCTGACAATAAACTCCGTATTAGGGATTTGGTTAAAAATCAAACCAACTTCCAAATATAGCCTGAGAACGTAAAGGTTTAGGCTGTGCTCTGTTTTGTACCATGTACTCTCCCCATTGGGCTCCTGCCATGGAATCTGTGAGCCATGCCAAGATCCTGAACCATCAGAGAAGGATTCCGTTATAGTCAGGGTGCACTAGGGCTGCAAAGGTTAAAGGCACATCTTTGAAATACAGAGGGCCCTTGTTATTCTTGAGGGGGGTCTCCTGGGGCTTTCTGAAATCCCGCAGCTCCCATTGCTGAATGTTTGGGCTTCTGGCTTACACCTGAATCACGTGTTTTGTGGAGAGTCATGTGTTTCCTATGCATATCCTTACTTGGTGACTTTTTTTTTCCCCTAAAAACACAGTTATACAGTTGGGTCAACAAAGCCAAGTCGAGATGAGAATGCGGAGCTTGAGCTCTTACTAGCTGAGTGGTTTTTTTCCCCCAGTGGATCTTACATGAGATAAACAACTCTCTGTCATGGGAGCAGGCACACTAAGAATGTGGGGGACTTGTATTCTCTGTGAACTTTATGGTACTTTAAGTGTTTAAGATTCTATTCAGTACTTTTTGGTCACTGATTTGTGTAATGTTTATTATGCTTGCAGATGTATTTTAATCAAGGGATGTGTGTTTTGGAGCAGATGCTGTTTTCTCAGAAGCTTTTAAAGTTTAAACGTGAACATAGGATTTGGAATTGTTGAATTTTGGTGGTTATGAATTTTAGATGAGATATTTTATAGAAAATATTTAGATTGCTTGTCATTATAATTACACACCTTTTTAAAGCATGGTATTATACTGTTTTTTGGGGTATGTTTATAGCCCAATAATGTCCTTTGTATACAGAAGGATGTATGGTGATGTCATTCCCCACTCGTCCTCCAAATGCTGTCATAAAATAGTCTTCTAGGGGCTTCCCTGGTGGCGCGGTGGTTGCGAGTCCGCCTGCCGATGCAGGGGACACGGGTTCATGCCCCGGTCCGGGAAGATCCCACATGCCGCAGAGCGGCTGGGCCCGTGAGCCATGGCCGCTGAGCCTGCGCGTCGGAGCCTGTGCTCCGCAACAGGAGGGGCCACAAGAGTGAGAGGCCCGCGTACCGCCCCCCCCCAAAAAAAATAGTCTTCTATCCTTATTTAATTAGTGGCTTGATTTTAAAACAAAATCATACTTGAATGATCTTAAATAGGAGCTGGAAATGGCGTTTTTCATTAGAGTGCTTATGGGATGTAAATATTATATGAGGCAGTGAATGAATATACTACAACCTATTATGCATTATGAGTTTTAAATTATGAGTTTCCTTCTTGCGTATTGTGTGCCATCTGATTAAATGTGTATTCTAGTCTTATTTGGAGATAAATCTTCAGGTTTTCAATTGTGAGGAAACCCATAACATTTTATGTGAATTAATAAAACCACAAAGTACATAAATTATGCTACTAAAATACTCTTTTGTTCAATATATTTCAAAACTTAAACTGCCTTTAAAATGAGACTAAAAGAGGTGCTTCCCTGGTGGTGCAGTGGTTGAGAGTCCGCCTGCCTATGCAGGGGACACGGGTTCGTGCCCCAGTCCGGGAAGATCCCACATCCCGCAGAGCGGCTGGGCCCGTGAGCCGTGGCCGCTGAGCCTGCGCGTCCGGAGCCTGTGCTCCACAACGGGAGAGGCCACGACAGTGAGAGGCCCGCGTACCACAAAAAAAAAAAAAAAAAATGAGACTAAAAGATTCCTGTTTCAACATATTTAAAATATGGTCATATTAGTTCTTTCAATAATTTGGCTACAAGTTACAAAAAAGTTTATGATGATTATAACTCTCTGGCCAGTATCAAATTTTCTCATGAGAAAATCACTTGTTTTGGGAGCTACCAACTTAAACTGCAGAAATTGGAATGTAAAATTTCATCATTTGACTGTAAAACATGTTAATCTTTTTCTCCATCTAGGTACCATTTACATTTACACCATTTGCAGAAAACTGATGATCATAGGTCACTCTTCTAAGGTATGGAATTTACTGACAAAATATCTTTCCCTGTAATTCCTGGCTTTCTTAAGACTTTTGTTAGCATTGCATACTAAACAAAGAAAATTTGTGAATTATATAACAAGACTTAGTGAATTTACATAGGTTTACTGTTTTTAGTTTTCCTTTAATATGATCATGTAAAAATGTAGACAATAAAGTATTAATGAGAAGAAAGAATTTCTAAAATTGATAGGTATTTCTCCAGTGCCCTTCAGTCTCTCAAATTAGTCATAACTTGTCAATACGTTACTGAACATCCGTCTGATAACTATATCTCTGGGGAGGGTGGCCATCCGTTCTAGCTTGCCCAAGACAGTCCTGTTTTATGCCTGTTTTCCTGGAGTAAGTATTAATAGTGCCTACTTTCACTTTTAAAAATGTGCTGGTTTGGGTGATAAACTATGGTTAGCCTGTTTATGTCTTGTTACGGAGCTTGGACTACATTTTGCTTGAAGAACTGGACTGTACTTATGGTCCAGACACTAGTTGGGTGAACAAGCTCCTAAACTATGTCCCAGTTATGAGCTGACTTTGTTTTACAGTAAGATTCTCACTGACCAGTACCCACTGCTTGGTTTCAGCTCGAGGAAGTGGCTGACACTTCTGTTGACTTCCTTACCATGTTGGTAGCACTTCTGTCTTCTGCAGGAGACATATTTATTCCCTGTGTTCACTGTCCAGTCACTGGAATGTAGGCCAAGAAGGGAAAATATCCTCTCCTTGAGACCATGCTTGAGTTCTTTCTGGCATTTGCAACACTACTACTTTAGTCTTCTCCACTGCATGCAAAACCTTGCTCTGAATATTCTAATGCTCGGGACAGATACTTTTTCCTTATTTCCTCAAAACACAGCCAAGTATCTTAAAAGTTGACAATGCTTAAAAAATAGATAGAAGCAAAGATATTTGCATGCTTAATGGATAACATTAATTGGGTGTTCTCTCTCTGTTTTGTTCCTTGCATTTAAAAGCTCTATACTGACAGTGACTTGAACAAACTCTCTGCCAGCTTTTTGAGTGTGACTTAAAATGAGGGGAGACTGTCCCATGTGTAATGTAAATTTGGCCTACAGACTATTCCAACGATTCTCTATCCAGTTCCAGATGATTTCCTAAAAAGAATTTGCAATCTCCCGTTGCACTTGCTGTAGCAACAAATACTGCTCCGTGGAGCCATCATAGTTTGGTCTGCTTATAGCATTTGTCTGGCAAAACTTTGAAGGGCAGAGATGTCTGTGCCAACATTTAACTGTTAGTGTTTGTACTTGTTAATGCTGAGAGGATTTTAATTTAACATGACAGTCATCTTAAAATAATTTATTTATACCCTTTGTAAGACATCTTCTTTCCCCCTCATATAACTTGAGTTTCTCTCTGACAAAATAAGGAAGGCCTGAAGGAGGATCATTCTATGTCCCAGTCTTGTGGGATGGGAGTGGGGGAGTGAGGAATGCAAGAATTTGGGGGTGGTGGGTGGCTGTACAGTTGGCACTTTCAGATCAGGATGAAATTCTTTCAGTTTGTTCAGTATAATAAGTTTCAAGGAAATTAATTTTCACCCTGAAATTCACAGACCCTCAGCTGATGAGTTGATTCCTGAGCTGAGACTATAAATGGACTCGATGGGTCCATTTAATGGGGACAGGCCCTTGGCAGTCCAGCTGCGTCTGAATCCTCCTGATTCTGTAGCTACTTTAGAGTTCAAGTCTGTTACAGCAAAAGACAGAAGGAGAAACAGATGTGGAATCCTTAGGCTTTTCTTGGTGTCACCCCAGAGCAATCTAAAGTCCTATTCCTATAGGAGCTGGGAATTATGATTACCATTTGTTATTATTATTGAATCCCTACTCTGTGTTAGGTACTGTGCGAAGGGCTTTGCATACACAATAATGCCATAATAGTCTTATGAGGTGGATACCACCACCATCACTGTCCTTTGTTGAATGAATACTTATCATCTCTAAGGTATGCTTCTAAGCACTTTCACATATTATCTCATTTAATCCTCACACCAGCACTCTGAGAAGGTGCCATCATTACCTTTATCTTATAGACGAGGAAGCTGAGGTTTAGAAAGGTTAATTCGCTCAAGGTCACACATCTAGTTAGAGATGTAGCGGAGGCCAGAGCCAATGCCACCCTGTACTGCCTTTCAACACCATTAGAATAAGGCGTGTCTGTTGGCATATCCCATGACCCACCCTATTTTGGTTCATCTCTGCAAATGGAGGAGTTGTGTGGGAGCTCCTGATATAATGTTGAAATATTTTCTGACATGACTGAAGGCATCCTGAAGACCAAGACTGGCCAGGGCTTTTCCCCGAATGGGAAGCACTTTTGTGCTGAGGCAGGTCACCAGCATAAGCTTAGCGAATGGAGGGAGGGCAGTTCTCTAAGCCGCTTTCCCTAAAGGCGTAAGACAGTTTGCTTTCCTTTATGGTAAAAGCTGTAGTTTCTTCTGAGGCATTTACAACTGTAGTATAGTACTCAGCAAACATTAAAGAATTCAGTAGAATCTATTTATTCTAAGAAAATGTTGATTTCTGTTTTCCCTATTTACCAAACTGAAATAGTTTGGTAAAGTGTGTGGCTTGAACAGTGGTTGTCAGATCAGTCCACATACCGTTACATAAACTTCAAGTCTAGACTTTGAAATGCTTCTCAGTGTTTTCCCTCAAAGGGTATGAGTTGATATAAATGACACTGCAGTGCCATCCTGTGGCTCAGCTGATTAATTGTGTGTGTGTTTTTCCTACTTGACACCTGAACCATGCTTTTGCTAGGCTCCTATAATATGGTTTTTCAAAGTTGCTTTTTTTTTTTAATGAAGACAGTAGTCCTCCTGAAATCATCAATTTTTTATTAATAGAAATAATTCTTTCTTTCAGGGGCAAGAAAAAATGCTACAAATTAAGAGGGTTTTTTTTTGGAAATGGCATTTCATCTTTAAAACCTGAATGATGGTTTCTCAGAGCCCTAAGTGGAATGATGGGTTTTCTCCTTTTTGTCATAGTTTCCCTGTGTAGTGGGAAGAATCCTGCTGCACTTGGGAATCCAGAGACCTGAATTTCAGCCCCAGCTCTGTCACTTACAAGCAGTTTAGTCTCTTGGAGTCAGATTAGGTTACTTTTAAGGTCCCTTCTGGCACTAAAATCTGTGATTTAGGGTCTTTGATGCTAAGTCTGAGGCCAAACCCAAACATCATGTGAACAGCTGTTCACTGATGCTATTTTTACTTTGAAATGTGAAATTTCTAATACCAGGAATCCTGAGAACTTTGGAAAGACGTGGATATAAAGGGGGGGAATTTATACATGGTTTTATTCCACCTCCCCCCAAATACAACAACCTGAATGTAAAAATCCACAATAAGATTTCTGTGCAGCAGATACGTGGAACTCAAGAGTTTTGATGACTGTTAATTCCATATCAGTTGTGTGGCAAAATCAGCAAACAATGACAGCCCCAGCAATGAAAACAGCAATAAAGCGACCCCAGGCCAACTTAGTAGACATATAGTCTCCAGAGCCAGGGAGGGGGAGTTTCCTTTCACTATGGTCTAGTTACACACTTTAAAGGGACTTTGGCAACCTGGAGCAAAGCCGTGGAAGACCAACCATGATGGGAAAGGGAAGTGCAGTCCTGGGAGGTATAGAAGTGCCGGGGGGTCTTTATCCTGGAGGGAGAGCTGGGGGAGAGAGCAGGCTGCATAGGTGCTTTCAGATTCATGGAAGGCCGTGATGTGCAAGTTGAGTTTTGAGTGGTCTTGTGCTGTTCCAGCAGGCATAACTAGGATGAATGCACCGGAGGTGTATCAAGGTGGATTGCATTTCAGATTAAAGAAGTTCATGTTTAGAATTGTCTTCTTATGCCACGTGGCATGTTCCTTGTTACTGGAGGTGGGAAGTCATGGGCGGGGAAGGTGTGGGACATCAGGTGGTGGTGCTGGTGATGTTGGGGAGGGGATGAAATTAGATGGATTTTCAACCCTTTGATCCTGTGATTACCTGAAGTAGGTCCATGTTTAGCATCATGAACTGAAACTTTTCAATGAAGTTCAGTCAGTCAGTCAGCAAAGATTTGCTGCATGTTTACTACATGCCAGATAAAATTCTGGGGGCTGGGGATACAGTGTGAACAAGACAGACAGGGCCCTTTCCTAAGGTGAACTTGCATTCTAGTGGGATGAGCTTACATTCCCAGCGGAAAGCAAAGAATATCACAAGTCTGTGTCAAACCCCGCTCTGCTTTCAACAGTCCCCTTTCCTCTGGACTCAAAAATGACCAGACGGTGGAGAATTCTGGCTTTTCAGGCTTCTTTTTTCTTTTAGATGTCCGCTGAGCTCCTTGCACACATGTTATACACATTGTCTTTGAAGGCTCCAAAGATGGTAATAGGGTCTGAATGTTACCAGTGTTTCATCAGTTTTTACTGTTAAATGCTTTGTCAGTCTGGTGGGTTTGCTTTATACATGTGAAGCTCCTGGACCTTTTTGATGATTTGCCTTTTCACATTGGGTTTGACTACTATAGACTTACTTTTCCTTAATTATTTCCTCACTTATTGAAGGCTGAATTTGTTATTGGAAGAGGAGATTTTTTCTGTTGTCCAAATTTATTATCATTATTTTCTTGGGAATCTAGACTACTTGTTAACTCTCCCTTCGTTATTTCTGCTGACTTTAGGGCTGTTCAGTGAATTCATTGAATAGCACTTGGGAATATATGCTAGGTACCTGGCACTGCTCTAGGTGCTGGGGATAATAACAAAAAAGGCACTGTTGTTATTTTCAAAGAGATCAGAGTAAGGTTTTGGAATCACACACAGGAGCATATTAATGCAGTTGGATGTGACATATATAGGTGTGTGTAAGAATCTATGTAAATTATATACGGTGTATAGATACACATGTATATACATACAGCACAATTACAGGAGAGGCAGAATTGAAGCAAAGGGCATTTCTCTTTAGGGATGTTAGCAGAGTCCTCTTCAACAGCTAGTTCTCTTTCCCCTGCTCTCCCTCCCCCTTCTCCTCCTCCTGTTCCTCTGTCTTCCCCATGCTCCCCCTTCCTCCTTCTTTGTCTTCACTGTCATTAGCAAAGCTAACACTTAGTATGTGTTTACTGTGTTCTAAGCACTTAGCATGTATTAATGAAAACAATCCTATAAAACAGTTACTGGTATACCTATTTTGCAGATGAAGAACCTCAGGCTCGTAGAGTTTAACTGTTCACGCACCACTGCTAATAGTGGAGGTAGAGTTTCAGCTCAGTCTTATGGGGAAGGAGAGAACAGAGTGAGCAGAGATGCATATTTGGTCCATTAAGATGTCTTGTGGAATGGAAAGTATTTTGGACCAGCTTTAAGTATACTATGCAAGGTCAAGAGTAATGGGGGTGGGGTGGGGGAAGGCAGGGACTAGGTTGTGCCCTATAAATGCCCTATAAAGGAAGCAACTGCATAGCACAGGGAGATCAGCTCGGTGCTCTGTGACCACCTAGAGGGGGTGGGATAGGGAGGGTGGCAGGGAGACGCGAGAGGGAGGAGATATGGGGATATATGTGTATGTATAGCTGATTCACTTTGTTATACAGCAGAAACTCACCATTGTACAGCAATTATACTCCAATAAAGATGTTAAAAAAAAATAAAAAAATAAATGCCCTATAAAGGGTTTGAACTTTGTTATATAGAAAATAGGGAACCATTGAATGTTTAAAGCACAAGAGTGACACAACTCAGTTTGCGGTGGAGTAGGGAAGATGCTTAAGGAAGCAGGGTATTTAAGAAGATAAGGAGACAAGTGAGGAAGTATCCCAGTAGTCCTGGGAGACTGCTTTGTTAAGGCTGATGTTTCCATGGATAGAATTTAGAATTTGATATTCTGAGATACTTTGCTCATAGATTCTTATCTCCATCCCAGTAATAGTTCTAATAGCAATATGTGGAGCAGAGACCAAATTTCTTCTAATATTCAATCAAGTGAAGGGTAATACAGTCCATTTACTGTTTGAAATTTTATTTTTTAAAAATTTTTATTGGAGTATAGTTGATTTACTATGTTGTGTTCGTTTCAGGTGTACAGCAAAGTGAATAAGTTACACATATACATATATCCACTCTTTTTTTTTTAGATTCCTTTCCCATATAGGCCATTAAAGAGTATTGAGTAGGCTGTACAGCAAGTTCTTATTAGTTATCTATTTTATAAATAGTGTGTCAATGTGTCAATCCCAATCTCCCAATTTATCCCTCCCCCCTTATCCACTGTTGACCATAATTTTGTTTTCTACATTCATGACTCGACTTCTGTTTTGTAAATAAGTTCATTTGTACCCCTTTCTTTAAAGGTTCCACAGATAAGCTATATCATATGATATTTGTCTTTCTGTGTCTGACTTACTTCACTCAGTATGACAATCTCTAGGTCCATCCATGTTGCAGCAAATGGCATTATTTTGTTCTTTTTTATGGCTGACTAATATCTGTTGTGTATATGTACCACATCTTCTTTATCGATTCCTCTGTTGATGGACATTTAAGTTGCTTCCATGTCCTGGCTACCCTTTGAGGTTTTAGAATATTTTTGTTTTTGGCTGCGTTGGGTCTTTGTTGTTGCATGCAGGCTTTCTCTAGTTATGGCAAGCGGGAGCTACTCTTTGTTGCGGTGCGCGGGCTTCTCATTTGTGGTGGTTTCTCTCTTGTTGCGGAGCATAGGTGCATAGGCTTCAGTAGTTGCAGCATGTGGGCTCAGTAGTTGTGGCTCGTGGGCTTTAGAGCGCAGGCTCAGTAGTTATGGCACATGGGCTTAGTTGCTCCGCAGCATGTGGGATCTTCCCAGACCAGGGATCAAACCTGTGTCCCCTGCATTGGGAGGCAGATTCCTAACCACTGCGTCACCAGGGAAGTCCCTAGAATATTTTCAAAGAAAGGAAAATATTGACAAAGTTAATTGCAGAATACATATCATCAAATAGTGTTTCCCAGTTTCAAATAGTGTTTCCCAGGGCTTTATGGGAAAAATATGTCCAAAAAGGATTATCACTGGGATTGTGGGGAAAAGTTCTTCAACTGTAGATAGAATAGCACAAGAGGCTCTTACATATATTCCAACAGATGGGCTAATAACAATGGTGACCCTTCCCCAAAATTTTGTTTCAGTTTGTACCTTCGGAATAATTACACTGGTAATAGGCATTATTTATGGGTGGCTTACATTGAGTCAGAATCATCCTAGTGTGTCATGTACATTATCTCCTTCCCATAACAGTACTGCAGTGATGTGCTAAAATATCCATTTTATAGATGAGAAAATTGAGGTCTGGAGAAGTAAAATGACACAGATACTAGGTGTTAAAATTGGAACTGAAGCCCAGGTCTTTTTGATTCTAATCCTGGACCATTTCTACTAAGTACCACAGGCCCCGGATTGTAAGCCTTTTCTATTTTTCCCTACCCTGTTATGCCAGTTTATTTTCAGAATAATACATTGGTTTGAGACCAGCTAATAACAATTGCATTGTTGGAATTTGCTCCTAGACTACTGTTGACACTCGATAAATGTTAATAAAAATAAGCTGAGTTCATAGGATTTTAGGAGCTAAGAAGGAAGACATTCTAAAATGGCTAACTTGAGATTTTGAGTTCTTGAAATAATTCTTTTACTTTTAAATGCTTGTTTTTTTAATTGACTCATTATTTGTGGTATTTTTAGTTTAAGTAGTCAGCAACTTGGGCTCACCACTCATAATTTGATAATATTAAATGAAAATTGGCATTATTAGCTTAAAATGAAAAGACATTCTATTGTGCCCTTTTTCTGTCTCAGGCCTTGGAATATCTCCTGTGGGCCAGTATATGTATGGAATCCTCGGTCCCACTTCTGTCCATCAGGTACTTGACGTGGAGAGCTACTCTTTACACCGCTGTCTGCCAATGCTACTATGACTGCCAGGCTGGTATTCACGGAGAGGTACGCTACTTTTAAGCTCTGAGGATGCCAATATTTAAAAATACAACATATTCAGCATTTTTTTCTTTAGATGAGCGGCAAGAAAAACAACCAAACAAACAGAACCCAAAGAATTGCAGTGAAGCAAAGACAAAAGTCCCAGGCTTTATTTGCAGAAATTTGCTTGACTTCTCCATTCTGTTGGTCTCTTGCTTCACTTCCTGTTTCTCCCTTTATTCTCTATTCACTTCTACCGTCTTGACTCCTTTTCTGAATCAGATCTCTGATATCTTCCCTTCCTTATTGTATTCTTGTATGCAAGTTACTTTCTTTCCCTGTTTAGTTACTATGTTCCATGCCACCTACCATCCATTTGTCTTGCTTTTCTCTGCTTCCTACCACCATTTATTTAGTATACTCTATTTCTTATTTTTCCTCTTTTCCTATATATATATATATATATATATTTTTTTTTTTTTTTTTTTTTTTTTTTTTTTGTTTGGGCGT